CACATGCATGAATGCAGAAAGTGAGAGGAGACTGTGACTATGCCTGATGTTTCACTGTTTACTCTTTAAGTTACTTTTTTCATGGGCTCCTGGTACATGTACAGTAACTATACAATGATTACCTAATTAAATTACTTGTTGTTTCATTGATTACAATTAGAATTACAATTAGATAGCATAATCCTTTTAATTAGAATTACAATTAGAATTAGCTAATAATTGCTAATGATTGCTAATTCCTAATGATTAAAATTAGAATTACAACAACCCTGCCCATGAATCATCTAATGGCGATAATTATGTAAATGTACTACATGTAGCTATCACTAATGATATATTTTTAGTAGCATTTTGCATTTTTATGAATTTTAAACACAAAAATAAATATTAACAAAAATTTTATAAATACAAAAATTAATTCTAACAAAAATTTGAGGCCAATAAATAAACCAAGCTATACAGTATGTTTTCAATTTTAAATAACTTTTGTCTGTAGAGTTACATAACTATCGAGAAGTACTTAAGACTAAAGTGACATGTCATCTCACTAAAGCAGTAGTTCAAGGTGAAGCTCGTGTTGGTAAAACCGCTTTTAAATCACTTCTTCTGGATGAAAAGTACATCAAAGCAAGTACTGGTATTGCTGAGCCAAGAGTTGGCATTCATCGCTATAGAATAAATGAGTCCCGAGACACTGGGAAACGATATGAGCTATTGAATGTCACAGAGTTAGAAATAATAGTTAAAAATGCTTTGAAAAAAGTTGCATTAGAAAAACCGATCAGTTCTCCAGTAGAAAATGAAGCTAGGGATGGCAACGATGGAAATGAATCACGTGACGTAGGAAATGAAACACCCAACCAGGCCAATGAACTTGTTGAAGGAAATGAAGCCACTGATGGAGACGGAGCACCTGGTGAAGCATCTGGCAATGAAAACAAAAGCTTGCAAAGTAAAGTAGTAGAGAAAGTATTTAAAGGAGTGCAGGAATGTTCAGGGGAGGAAAACCATCTTGAAGGTGCACGTTGGCTATACCTCATTGATACAGGAGGTCAAATCGCTTTTCAGAAGTTGCTTCCAATTTTTATGCCGTTTGCCCAAATTCTTATTCTTGTTGTTAATATTTCAAAAGAGTTATCTAGCCAAGCCACTGCAGTGATGCACATTGAAGGGGAAGATTACAGTGATGGCAGTCCATACCGTTTACCAGTTGAAGAAAGTTTAAAGCAGATAATCTCTTCAATAGCTTCTGGCATGAAGCATTTCAGGAATAGCTATAAAGATCATGAAGTTCTACACGATTTAGTTCCAAAAAATTTGGAGATTCTCACGATTGGTACACACAGGGATGAATGCATCAGTGATAAACATGCAGCAGAGTCTAAACACGCATTGAAAATAAAATTAGCAGAAATAATTTATGCAAATAAAAATTGCCAATCTGCTGGAGATAATGTAGTTCAAGTACATGAAATTGATGGTCGTATTGCTGAAATTACTGTTGAAAGCCGAAGAGAAACCAATGCCACTACTGAAAAAAGAGAATTTGATGATAAAGGTGCATGTACATGGAATTCTTTGGATACAGTAAATGATATCTTGAAGGAAAGTGAAAAAAAGATCAACATTCCATTTTTTTATTTCTTCTTTGATATTGTACTTCGCGTTGCAGTAGAGCAGGGATGTGGTATCTTACAATACTCCACCTGTAAAAGTCTTGGGGAAGAATTAAAACTTTCAGAAGATGAAGTGCTGGAGTCTCTTAATTTTTTGCATCAGATCAACAGTATCATTTATTATCATGATTCTAAATCCTGCAGTGACCTGGTGTTTGTTAACATAGGCAGCCTTACTGGTATTCTCCATCAGTTGGTTGGGCGTGTTTACCAGGTTCACTCCAATAAAGAAATATACGCTGGAGACAAGGATGGAATTATAAAGGGAATGCTTTCAGAGTCCGAGTTCAAAAAGATTTGTAATAAAAGACTCGATCCCATTGAAAAAGAGCTAAAAGTTGCTGATATAGCAACAAAGTTGCTGAATCTTTTTGTGGAGCTCTCAATAGCTACACCAATAGATGATAAATATTTCATACCAGCTCTCCTTCCAGTAAGAGATGTTACAGATATCAATCCTTTTAAAGATCGTGAGCCATTGCTGTTTTACTTTGAAAAGGCAACCCCAATGGGCCTCTTCTGCTCTGTCATCACTCGTCTTCTTTCCAGCCCTTGCTACAAAATTGCTTCAATAGAAGGTAATTTCTCTAATTACATTGAGTTGAGATATCGTACAGAAGGAGTTAAATCATTCTACATTGTTCTAGTTGAACAGATCAATTGCATTGAAGTCCATTGTCAGAAACAGAGAGGGGAAGGGATAGTAAGGGAAGATGTAACAGAAGCGATCAGTTTTGCAGCTCAGAAACATCATCTCAGTGACAGTCCAGATCTCCGATTTTATTGTCCATGTAAGTGTGGCACTGGAAGTGCTGGTACTGGTGAAAGTGGAACTGCTGGTGCTGGAGGAGGAGGTGGTGCTGGTGGTGGTACTAGTATTGGTGGAGGTGTGTCAAAAGGGAAGAAGCATACAGTTGAAGTTGAGACTGTCAATAAGAAGCATACCTTCCGATGCAGTGAAAACCCACTTACTGAATGGGAAGATGAGAAACCATGGTGGAACTCCTGGCTTGACAGTAAGTTATTTACTTATTATTATATCTATTATTGCTATTATTATTGATTACATGTATATTATTGTGAATGACCTGCTGGTTATTTTTTCCACAGCTGGTAAACCAAACACTCCAACTTCTAATGATGAGTCAACTTCTCCTACGAAGCAAAGTAAATTACATGTACATTACTATTCATTCATTGATACTAATTTTAATATAAAGGTACAGTGAAAAGACATCTATCTGAGACAGAGAGCTCTGGTTCTTCACAATGTAAACGTAGACATGTTGATGAAGAAATTGATAGTAAATACATGTATATGTTGTTTAATTGTGTATTTATGTACATGTATATACAGAATAATCCAATCAATCCTCATCTAATATTATTTTTAAATTACAGGCAGGGAGCTTTCTAAGAGAACAGTCCAAAAGATATTTCATTCTTCTGCTCACCATTACATGCTGATAGGGACTGGATTGGGTGTAAATGTAGCAGATCTGAAAGACACAGATGACGCAACTAATAATCTTATTAAAGTCTTCCAGAGGTGGTTTGATGCCAGCAAAAATGTCAGTTGGGATACTTTGAAAAAACTTTGTAAAGACTATCCTCAGGTACTGGGCAAAGCAGAGGATGAACTAAATAAAGTACTTGGCAGCCAGTCTTCTTAAAAGAATGATGCCAGCTCCTCATATTTGAATTATTATAATGATTTTTTCTATTGTTCATTAGTTTACTTAAATAAAAAACATTGAAAATGGAAAAGTAGTAGGATTAAATTAGGAATAAAGTACTGAAAAAAACAAGAGGGTACTTGCAAACTGGTGTGGTAAGAAATCCTACACCACTGCACGAGAAAGCATTAGTGATAATTGTATGTGGACATAAATTAAAATGGCATCAAACCACAAACCCACGCAGTGTCTGTACCTAGATTCTGTCTTCCATTTTGTTCCTTGTCCTTGCTTCTTTTTAAAGCCACTTTTCCAGTCCTTGACCCAAGCGCAGAGAAATGATGTAAAAGCTGTAACCTGAGTGGTTCTCTAAAGTCTGAAGAATTTTGCAGAAATTAGAATTTGGGTCTGTTCTCCAAAAATGATCCCGCTACATCACAGTGAATACAGTCCACTTTAAAGGTACCAGGAGAGTCGCCCAGTGTGTACAATGTAAGATTATACATGTAAGTGTTTTAAATGATGCCATCTTGAAACCAACCTCAATCTTACATAAACATGTACATGTAGGCTACCGCCTATATATGTGTAATAAATAGTACAGGGACTTTAACCCAATTGTGGAGCAACATTAAAATTTGTAAAAAATCCAAATTTGATCGGAATCGGCTCAAACTTTCTACACAACATAAATACAAGTATATGCATTAGGAAATGTAATAAAAATTAAGAATTCTCTACTTTTCATTTTTGGCGAAATTTGGCCCGTGATATACAACTGTACATATATACATGTACATGTACATGTATACATGTACAATCAGCCAGTAATTCCTCACCTTATACACTTCCTTATAAACATCAGGTAGCTCTACAGTCGGTGACACTAGCCAGGTCGGTAGAGAAGGTGATTGAATGCTGCTAGTAGTAGCCATGACAGGAGGACCCCCGGACTGATAGTGGACCAGAACAGGAGAACCAACAGCAGGTGAAGTCATGAGAGGTAGCGCTCTTCGTATCCCTCCACCTCCAACCCTCTCTCTACCAGCAGCTGATGCTAATACACTATTACTAGTAACAGTATTACTAGTTACCGATTGGAAGTCACCAAACCCATCGTCAGAACCAGGAGAAAAAGATATCTCATTAGTACCTCCTGACGTTTCAGTTTTAAATAATCCGCTTAATTCTTCTCCTCCTTTCTCCCAGACTTTAGCCGCTTTTGTCGAGACTGAGTATGTTTTATTGAGAGGGACTGGGAAGGGTCTCGTTTCTATTCCTCTGATGGGCGGGGTCGATTTGAAATCGGATTTGGTTAGTGGACATTGGTTGGGTTTAGCATCACCGAGACCGGACATTGTGTTTGATAATAACTCATCAATTGAAGGACCTAGGAATAATAATAATAATAATAATAATAATAATAATAATAATAATAATAATACATTGTTGTCTTGTTTGTGTTAAAACAAACCGAAACTGAAGAATAACAGTTTTCATACTTTGCAGTGTTATGTTGTTTTTTGGACAATAATTTGTGTATTTAAGCTTCTAACACTAGTTATGCTAAACATACATGAACCAGTACAATACAGTTTTAATTACATTAGCTAGGTTATTGTTTCAGTTTAGGCATTCCGTTCCAAAATAATAACAAATAAATAAAATAATTAATTAATCTTACCAATAGTTGTATTAATTGTTGTTGCTACTTTAACACTAGCAGGAGG